CCTTGAAGTACAAGCAAGTACATACAGCAAATGATAAATAAACATGTCAAGAGCCTTGCTGACATCATGCTCCTGACATCATGTGACTCACTACAGCAAAGCTAACCATATTGCCCATGCTACAAAAATACCTCACAGCATATTTGTTTCAAACTTGTTAGCTCATAGGTCTATATCTTGTTTTTCCCCCTAACTAGAGTAGCTCATTGAATTGATGGGATTTATCCACAAATGTATAAGTTCTTGAATTATTTTTCTCTAACTGGAAGTAAATGCCAGTGTATCAACCATAACTTAATCATGGCCATACTACACATAAACATCCAAGTTCACAAACAATAAATTGGTAGTTTAATTTTTACAAGGAATCCAAAATAGCACAGTAAATATGTCAAAATCATCTATATTATCCCATGCAGCCTACAATTCAACCAAACATCAATTGTTTATTTATAACATCTCACATACATGGAAATGTATCCATAGACTGCTAATTGTTTATTTTCATTGAGGAGAAAGATAGTAGACTTTGAAAATTGGAAATTAAAATAAATACATGATGAAATACTTGCTGGACTTACAGATTTTCTCGAATGTATCAGCAATTAATTCTTCATATAAAATATGTTCTCATTGTATGTACATAGGACCATCAGATATGGCACACCAATTCTTACCATATTGGAAAGATGAAGAAATCAAATAATACACAGAACTACTGATGGGAATCTCCAAAAATTAACTTCTTCTTTTGCATGTTTTTGTGGTTTTTAATACATTAAGAAATTGAGGAGGAGAAACAGACAACAATAAGGGATGGGTGTCGATGTCAATAAACACAGTCTTGCATTTTGTAGAATACAGAGATAGGCAAGCAAGGGAAAAGAGGAAGAGAGATAACAAGGGATCCACTAATGAAGGATTTGCTGGAGGTCCCATCTGTACTGGACTGGTTCAGCTGGAGTGACACTTGTACTTTCACAATTGATTCTTCCTAGGAGACAGAAAACATTCCCTTTGCCAGGCAGCTGGGAAGATGGAGCTGTGCCCAACTTCCCTGGGCAAGCAATATGTTGGGGCTAAGACTCTCCATTGTTTTCCACCCTCCTGAACCAGACTTCTTATCCAGCAGCAGATTCCCGCATCTCTGGAATGGCTTGAAACCTGCCTCTTCCAGCCAAGCCCAGCTGCCTTTCCACATAAGAGCAGGTGTCCAAGGATACAAAGCAGAGTCAGGGCTCAACTCCTCTCCAAGGAACTTTCTCTTTCTCTCTGCCCCAATTGGAGATACAGCATATGTTCCTTCCTTCCTTCCTTCCTTCCTTCCTTCCTTCCTTCCTTCCTTCCTTCCTTCCTTCCTTCCTTCCTTCCTTCCTTTCCTCCTTCCTTTTCAGCTTCTGATTGTATTCCTTCCGCTGGCCTATTTGGCACTCTCTCAAGGTTCAACTGTTATAAATCATCCTTTATAAGGAAACAGGAATACACAAAACAAAACTGAAAAGAGCTACCACTGAAGTCATCACACTAAATGAACTCTTTAAAAAGGGACACAACCTCACAACTTTTTGGTTTTCTTTGGGATCCATTAAATCTCTGGGATTTATTTCTCTGATTACTAGATGTAGATGTTTCTACATTTTATTGATTAAGGATTCACTCCCATTTGACTGTTACCTTCATCACGCGATCTTATTGTACTGGAGCAAAAATGACAAGAATCCTAGGATAGGGGGAGAAATACCTTTAAAAAGCAACTAGGGGACATGACCCATTGTCTTTGATGTCCCTACACTAAAGCACAGAGCACTAGAAATAAACAAGGTGAACCTGAACTCTTAACACAGAAAAGCAAAAATGATATACTATGCAATACTGAAATCTTGTGGGATAAGCCTCATGCTTGGAATGTAATAACCTATTTCAGAGAGACAGAACAAATATGAAAGTACAAGTAGTAACATTATATGTCAAGGATGTTTACCTCTGTGAAGAGAGACATGACTTAAATGCATGCTTTGCAGGAAATTTTAATTGTTTAGAAAATTGAAGAAGCAACAAAAGTGATGACCTGGTTAATGGGATGGAAGTGGTGGAAGTGGCCATGTTCTTGTTGAGGTTGTTAGACAACAGAAAGGAATAAACAATCATAGACTTTAAAAAAGCTCGTTTCAGTTAATTTAGGGAAATACTGGATCTGAACCCATAACCAAGATTACTAAAATAACAAGGATGTCATGAAAGAGGGGAGTCAGCAGAGGTTTCGCAAAAACAAGTCATACCAGATTAATTTTATTTCTCTCTCTCTCTCTCTTAATATATTTGCAAACTTGGTAGAGGGAATACTTTTGATTTCAAGTTAGGCATTTGACAAAATACTCAAGATTCTTGCAAATGAGCGAGTACACTGTAAGCTAGACAATGCTATTGTTAAATGGATTTAAAATTGATTGACTGATCAAAGCCAAAAGGTGCTCACCAATAGCTCCTTTTTATTCTAAAGAGAAGTGCCTAATGAGGTGTCATAGGTTCTCCCATAGGTCCACTGTTATTCAGTATCTGTATCAATGACTTGGATAATGGGATATTTATATATGTATTATCTTTTTTTATACCCTGCCTTGAATCTCCCTGTGGGAACTCAAGGCAGCATAGTGATCAGATTTATAGGTAAAGGTAAATGTTTCCCCTTTACCAATTCTGGGGTGGTGGTGCTCATCTCCATTTCTAAGCCGAAGAGCTGGTGTTGTCCATAGATGCCTCCAAGATCATGTGGCCAGCATGACTGCATGGAGCACCATTACCTTCCCGCCAGGGTGGTACCTATTGATCTACTCACATTTGCATGTTTTCGTACTGCTAGGTTGGCAGAAGCTGGGGCTAACAGTGGGAGCTCCCTGGATTTCAACCACCAAACTTTTGGTAAGCAAGTTCAGCAGCTCAGCAGTTTAACCTACTGTGCCTCCAGGAATATGTTTAGCTTGGAGAAAAGAAAGCTGAGGGGACATGTACACTTTGGATCCAACCTATCTTTGAGACCGCATCTCTTTCTATGAACTGGCATGGGCTCTGAGATTGACAGGGGAGGTCCTTCTCTCCGTCCCACCACCATCTCAAGCGCAGTTGGTGGGGACGAGAGAGAGGGCCTTCTCTGTGGTGGCCCCCAGATCCATCAAAGTATTATTATTATTATTATTATTATTATTAATTACGTTTACATATTTGAAAGGATGGTGCAAGCTTGTTTTCTGCTTCTCCAGAGATTAGAACACGAAGCAATGGATCCAACTGCAGGAAACATGACCACCTAAATATGAGAAAGTACTTTCTGAGTGGAAGAGCAACACTGGGGGCCTCTGTGTGATGTGGTGCATCCTCCTCTTCTAAACAGAGGTTGGATGGCCATCCTTAAGGAGTGCTTTGGTTGTGTATTCCTGCATGACAGGGGTTGGGCTTTGCGGCCTCTTCCAACTCTATACAATCATTGTACAAATGTATTTATTTATTTATTGTGTCGAAGCGAACCGAGGGGTAGAGTTGTAACGTATTTAAAACACAAATTCAACTATCCCGTTTGCTTTGGGAAGTTTTCAACCAGCGGCCAAGAAAGCCCAGCTTCCTGCCCAAGAAAGATTTGCTAGTTTAGGTAACCTGCGAGCATGGAGCTGCCAAACTCTGTTTTCCGATCTGAAGGAGAAGGTCCAGTTTGGGCGAAAAGGTGGGGGGAGGAGAAGGAGGAAAACATATGCTCTTCCTTTCTCCCCACAAGCGAAACACGGGATGGCAGCAACACACGCAAACTGTTGCGGTGCGATTCTCCCCTCCTGCTTGCTTCCTCCGCCCATCCCATCCCGAGGGAGGCGTTGAAAGCTCCAAACGGAGCTCCAGGAATGGATCTTGGTCCGGCTTCCCTGTTCCACGAGTTCCATGGAATAGGGATGAAATCTCACCAGTCAGCCAACCCTCATCCAGGCTCGTTCAACCTGCCTGTGACTCCCAGCGCGCTCGAGCTCGCATTCGTGTCTCTCGGAGGGAGAGGGCGGCTCTCAGGGAGAGGAGGGAATGACGTCAAGGAGAAGGAGGGTCCCGCTTGAATGAACCGCAGGCGGAGAGACGCCCAGAGCCTTGACTCCCGGTTGCGCCTCCAGAGAGACTCCCCAGAAGTCGTGCCTAGCCCCCCACGAAGCCAGAGACCATTCCGTATCGCTCAGAGACTCCCTCTGCTCCTCCCTCCCGCCCACGACTTGCCGAAAATGGGACCCAAATTGCAAAGCCAAGCGTGGAGAGTGGGGAGCAAGGGAATGGCAAGTGGGGGGAGTTTACACGGAAAGGGAACTACGAGGCAGGGAGGGAAGGGAGGGGATAACCATAACTACACGGAGCTGGGAGTGCTGGCAAAGGGAGGGGCTTTGGATGGAGGCGTCACCGCATCTGGGAGTCTCTTTCCTCAGAAGACAAGTCGTGGTGTGTGTATGTGTGTGTGTGTGTCTTATTATCTCTTACATAACATGCCTCAATATCACCCTCGGGGTGGATAGAGGGCTGAGCCTGGATGGTCTCGTTCTCCCTCCACCCGGGAGACTATGCCAAGAGAGAGAAACACGTCCAGAGAGCCCCATGCAATCTGTGCCTCCCTTTCTCTCTCCTTCAAGAGACACCGAGCGCTCTCCACGCTGAGAGCGAGCGGACAACCACCTGCTGCTGAAAGGCTGCTCTTCCAAGCCATTAGTAGTAGTCGTCCTCTTCCATCTCCTCTTGGAAAGGAAACGCGGCTCACGACAGTATAAAAAGGTTCCATTTAAAATCCACAACATAGAAATCTTAAAACTGACGGACGCAACCCGTTACAATCCTAATAAGGACCTCATTACACTAAATCCGGTTTCTGCCTCCTACAGAATTCTGGAGTTTGTAGTTAAGGGAGGAGCCTGTAACAGCCTCACTAAATAGGCAGAAACCGGATTTAAAGTGGAGTCATTCTCGAGTGTGATGAAGTAGTTAGGTCACTTTGGAACAATGTTCTCATGCCCAAGCCCCGCTCCGATCCGGTGGGGCGTTTCTCCTACCTGGAAGAGGCGTAGGATGTTGGCCACCATGATGGAGACGGAGCTTCCGGCGGCGCCGACCACGCCGAGCACCTTCTCGGGCCGGACGAAGACGGGCGGCTCTCCGTTGGTGCAGCGCACGTCGGAGGTGTCCTTCTGGATGAGGGCCTGGACGAAGGTGAGCGACTGCTCCAGCGCGTAGGTGTCCCGCGAGCAGGTGTCCAGGATGCGCGCGCCCAGCGTCACGTTGGGCAGCAGCTCCGGGTCGCTGTTGATCTGGTCCAGCGCGTAGAGCATGGCCTCCAGGCGGTGGATGCCGGCCTCGCGCTTGATGTCCCCGCAGGGCCCACCGGGGCCGCCCCCCTCCGCGCCCCCAACCCCCCCGGGCACCCCCGGCCCGCCCAGACCCTTGGCGTGGACCGGGAAGAGGCCGCCCAGCGTGATGTCGCCCTCCAGGCGGATGGAGTGGGGCGCGTAGGTCTCCTGGCCCCGGGCCCAAGGGCCCCGCGCACACAGCAGCGCCCACAGCCACCACAGCGCCCCTCCAGGCGGGCCCCCGCGCCCCCCACCGAGCATGGCCGGTCCCAGGCAGGGGTGCGAGGAAGGTCCTTGCCTTCGCTCTCCTAGAGGAGGATTCCCTCGAGGGGAGGGAGGGGGAGCAGAAGAGGAGGAGGAGGACGGAGACCCAGCCGCTCTCCGGAGCCCTGCCGTCGGAGCGCTGCCCTCCACGCCGCCGCTCACTCAGCACTGCGCGGACAGAGGCTGGGCTGTCGCTTTAAATGCTCACCCGGCTCCTCTCCGCCCCCCGCCCTCTCTCTCTCTCTCTCGCTCTCTTGCTGCCTCTCCTTCTGCCCTCCTCCTCCTCCTCTTCCAGCTTGCCTTCTCCTTCCCTCCCTCTCTCTCTCCCTGTCTCTCCTTCTCTCTCTTTGCGCGACGTCTTTACGCAGAGAAGCGGGCTGAAGTAACCGCCCTCCGTCCGGAGAAGAAGGCGAAAAGGAAGAACAGGAGGGAAGCGCCTCTAGGATCAGCACCGCGGACAGCACCAACGGCCCGCCGCCGCCGCAGATCAGCACCATGGACAGCACCACGCATATCTAGTGTCCCCTGGCAGGCTGCCCCGCTGTTACTCTTGTTCTCCTCAGGTTTTGGCTCTTGGTTCACTGCTTTCTCCTCAATCCCTCATCGGGGAAAAAAAGAGTAACGTTTCCTTCCGCGCTTTCTGTGTCTTCCAGGGGATGAACCTGACCTTTACAGATCTGTGGCATTGACTGTTCCCTGTTTAAGTTTTGATCTTTTGGAAGGGTTCCCACATATCGCTTGGGGATACTACTTTAACAAGTACAAATACGCAGCTTAGATTGACCCCATCTTGTAATGACCCTGCTAACAAGCAGAACCATGTCTCAATGGTTGTTAAACAGGGGTGAAGGAACATGGAGCTCAAAAATGGTCCAGTGGTGCTTCCTGTTTCTTGCCTGAATCAACTGTGGATCCAGGAGCAAGCTCAGGCCAAGGTTGCTTGTTATTTGGTCGTCACCCAGCTTATGGAAAGCCTAAAGTGAATTTATTATGGGGTTTTCTTGGCAAGATTTGTTCAGAGGAGATTTCCCACTGCCCTCTTCTGTGGCTGAGAGATTTGGGCTTGCCCACAGTGTATTGTGCGGGGCTTGATGAATGCAAAGCTGGGGTGAAAATTGCTGGAAGAAACATTAACAACCTCAGATATGCAGATGACACCACTCTGATGGCCGAAAGCGAGGAGGAGCTGAGGAGCCTTCTAATCAAGGTGAAAGAAGAAAGCGCAAAAGCCGGGTTGCAGCTAAACGTAAAAAACCAAGATTATGGCAACAAGAATGATTGACAACTGGGAAATAGAGGGAGAAACCGTGGAGGCCGTGACAGACTTTGTATTTCTAGGTGCAAAGATTACTGCAGATGCAGACTGTGGCCAGGAAATCAGAAGACGCTTACTTCTTGGGAGGAGAGCAATGTCCAATCTCGATAAAATAGTAAAGAGTAGAGACATCACACCGGCAACAAAGATCCTCCTAGTCAAAGCCATGGTATTCCCTGTAGTAACCTACGGATGTGAGAGCTGGACCTTAGGGAAGGCTGAGCGAAGGAAGATAGATGCTTTTGAGCTGTGGTGTTGGAGGAAAGTTCTGAGAGTGCCTTGGACTGCGAGAAGATCCAACCAGTCCATCCTCCAGGAAATAAAGCCCGACTGCTCACTGGAGGGAAAGATACTAGAGACAAAGTTGAAGTACTTTGGCCACATCATGAGGAGACAGGAAAGCCTAGAGAAGACAATTATGCTGGGGAAAGTGGAAGGCAAAAGGAAGAGGGGCCGACCAAGGGCACGATGGATGGATGGCATCCTTGAAGTGACTGGACTGACCTTGAGGGAGCTGGGGGTGGTAACGGCCGACAGGGAGCTCTGGCGTGGGCTGGTCCATGAGGTCACGAAGAGTTGGAGACGACTGAACGAATGAACAACAACACAGTGTATTTATTTATTTATTGAATGACATTTCTACCCCACATTTCTCACTCCTGAGGGGACTCAAGGTGACTTTACATACAGGCAATGATTCAATGCCTTAAAACACAATGTACACTTCATAAATATTAAAAAAGAATTAAAAAGTACATTAACAACAATTAAAACATTTAAAACAATACATTCAAAGTTAAACATGTAATCTACAAGCATAATCCGGGCTGTTCCAATGGTCATTGCACATTGTTCCAAATCTATCTATTACACAGGTTCTCTAAAGGCTTGATCACAAAGCCACATTTTCATTCTTTACTGAAAGGTTAGAAGGGATGAGGTTGATCTAATATCCCTGAGGAGGGAGTTCCACAGCTGAGGGGCCACCATTGAGAAGGCCCTGTCTCTTGTCTTCCCGAAATGAGCCAGCAAGCGAGGGGGGACTGAGAGCAGGATCTCCTCCATGGATCTTAAAGTCTGTGGTGGTAAATAGAGGGGGATACGTTTGGACAGATAAGCTGGGCCAGAGCCGTTATTGGTAGCCGAGTGCAGATTCAAACCCTGGCCGCCTGAGTCTTAGTCTCATGCTCATATCACACTGACTCTGAGGCATGGCTGCTGCTATTATCAAAATACCCTGTTTACTCAATTCTAATGCTCTCTTTTTTGGGCTAAATTACCTGTACAAAAATTAAAGTGCACATTATATTAATGTCATATGGTCATCTTAGTGCTGAGCCAAAGCAAAAGGGGAAGCTGCACCTGGAGGTCATCTTTAAGGGTTGTTGTTGTTCATTCGTTCAGTCGTCTCCGACTCTTCGTGACCTCATGGACCAGCCCACGCCAGAGCTCCCTGTCGGCCGTACATACATAGCTCCTTCAAAGTCAAGCCAGTCACTTCAAGGATCCCATCCATCCATCTTGCCCTTGGTTGGCCCCTCTTCCTTTTTCCTTCCATTTTCCCCAGCATCATTGTCTTCTCTAGGCTTTCCTGTCTTCTCATGATGTGGCCAAAGTACTTCACTTTGTCTCTAGTATCCTTCCCTCCAATGAGCAGTCGGGCTTTATTTCCTGGAGGATGGACTGGTTGGATCTTCTCGCGGTCCAAGGCACTCTCAGAACTTTCCTCCAACAGCACAGTTCAAAAGCATCTATCTTCCTTTGCTCAGCCTTCCCTAAGGTCCGGCTCTCACATCCGTAGGTTACTGCAGGAAATACCATTGCTTTAACTATGCAGATCTTTGTTGCCAGTGTGATGTCTCTACTCTTCACTATTTTATCAAGATTGGACATTGCTCTCCTCCCAAGAAGTAAGCGTCTTCTGATTTCCTGGCTACAGTCTGCATCTTTAAGGGATATCACCGCATATTTAATGGCCATGGCTCAATTCTATGTAATCCTGAGATTTGCATTCTTTGGCAGAGAAGGCTCAAGGCCTTGTAAAACTACAGCCCTTATCATTCCATAGTATTGCACCATGGCAATAAAAGTGGATCCATCCTGCAGCCTAGGTTTTTTTTTCATTGCTGAGAGCTTTTGTGCTCTACACTTTTGTGTTTTAAAGAAGGGAATTGGAAGCAGGCCGCAGCTATAATGGCCAAATAACTAAGAGCGCACCTTTTGCCACTTCATGTTACAATTGCCAGCAAATACTTCTTTTTGATTTAATGATTTTGAAAATTGAGGTGCATGCATTAGATTTGATGGTGCATTATACTTCATTAAATATGATATAAAGGGAAATCAGAACTGACAAATAAAACATTTATTTATATACAAGCCAGGTATAACGGAATTCAAAAGCTATCTGGGGCAGGGGGGAACAAAGAATCCCACCGCTGCCACCAGTATAACGGAATTCAAAAGCTATCTGGGGCAGGGGGAACAAAGAATCCCACCGCTGCCACCAGTATAGTAAAATTAGAGATACCTGGGGCAGGGGGAAACAAAGAATCCCACCTCTGCCACCAGTATAGTAAAATTAAGGCTGACCATAAGTTGAATATATCAATGACCGATGTTATTGGTAGTATTAGCCGCCACCACCTCAGCTTTATTGGTCTGAGGAACCAAAGGTGTGAATGTGTTGTAGGTAAAGGTGTGTTTGCCCTGGGTATCTTCTATTACTCCTTAACTGGCTGACTGGACTTTAAAAGTGCTTGACAGACTGAGGCTTACACCAGCTAAAAGTGAACTAGAAAAAGTTTATTGAGCTTTAAACAAACATCTACTTATAGAATGAGCGGTACAGAAGCGTAATTCAGTTGCAGAAACTTAGTTGGATTAAACAGTTAGTTCTACTGACCAAAAAGCTTTTAAAACTGTGAGTTTCCTTAAACACACTGTTCTATTCATAGAAACAGTATCTCTTAGAGAACAGACTCCTGTCTGTCTCACACACAGGGCAATAAGGTATCTTAAACTTCTCCTAAGTTTAATAAGACAAAACTCTCTTTTACTGGTCCTCTCAACTCAGTAAAAACCTAGCCTTTGTCTCAACCTTATTCCCTAACCTTAAGGCTCACTTTAAAAACTCTTCTTCTCTGTCAGAACTCTATCTAGCTTCCTCTCCTAAAATCCTATCCTTCTGTGTCTGATGTCAAGACACTTCTATCTCTACTGTCAAAACTGACAGCCTTTTTCCCTCTCTCAACCGGCTCCTCCCCTAATTGCTCTACCCAATCAGGAGTCGGCTTGACTCCTCCTCCTGCTTCTGCCTGTCTTTCCAGATGAAAGCTCCTGATATTCAGGCTTCGGCCTGGTCGCCTAAAAGGTAGATTTCACTACACCAGGTGATTAGTTACATGAGGGTTTCAATTCTAGAACTTAGTCCTTTCATGCATCATGATCTCCACTAGCCATTTGTCCTTCCAAACATAAAGTTTTGTTGGAGAATATCTTGTCTCAGAACATTTCATAATGCCATCATATGAAGCAAGTTTCTACCTTTCCTAGCCTGTGGGCAAATAGACTAATGTGTGTAAATAGGTAATAGGACTGTGCTCTAAGGCCTACATATTGCAAGTGCAATAGGAAAACATCAACATAAAACATTTTAAAAATTGTCTTGGTGATGCTGTTTCCCCAAGTCTTATATAAATTCAATTTGAGGAAGACACATAAGACACATTTCAAAGAAAGGACAGTTTCTGAATGTTACGATCCCTAGATGGCATTTTTGGTTATTGTAGGGCAATTTTAAAAATTGAGTCCATTTGAAAAGAACATAGTGGCAATGCTTTCTAGATCATGTAGAGATGATTTGTTGGCATTCTGGAACAACAAATGCGATGAAAGGGACACCTTATGACTGCTGGGGGATCCTGAGGGGACACAAAAACTTCATGGAGCATTTTACCTAAACTTGGTCTAAATCAAAATGTTCCTCTTCTGTTTTGGACAGCAAGTTTTTTTTCCATCCTGGATAGCAAGACATTTGGTATTTTCAAAAATTATACAGTAAAAGAAAAAAAAATGTCTCTTCCATTTGTTTACCTT